AATATAGTAATTAAAAATGATTTGTGGGAGAAAAACATGGAAAATGTTAATGATACATATACATAATATACATATCCATGGTTATAAATTAAACTATTTATAACGATTAAAGATACCATAGATATATGTGTAAAAAGGCTGGAAGGATACATACAGAAATGTTATAAATTACTTCTGGGTGGAAAAAAATAAAAAGGTGATCATTATTTCCTCTTCTGCAGTTTCTTGCATTTTCAAATTTTCTACGAAAACTATGTATTGCTATTTTTTGAATCAGAATAAAAAATCAACTTTCAAATATCTGGTTTGCTTTCCTAAAGGGAAGAGTAGGTCATCTTTCAAAGTCTTTCCTAAAACGTGATTCTTTGTGAGACTTGGAAATGAGTCTTCATTATTAGGCAAATGGCCAAGCATGCTTACTGCCACCAGGAAGTAAAAACCCTATGCTTTGCTGAGGCAAACAGGTTATACTTTACCTTGTAAATGCACTTTATTTTTTCAGATTGTATTGACTAAGCATGTTATTAATCAGGGTCCAAGTTCAAGGTCCTGACAATCTACTTAAGAAGGTGAATCTTAGGGACTGGAGGTATTTTAGAATCCTTGTGTTAAGCTCCCTCATTTTACTATGAAGAAAAAGTTGGAAAGGTTAACAACTTGTCCCTGTTAGATCTGGGCAGACTCCCATTTGGTTTCCATGCTGAGTTCTGCAAAATAAATGGAAGTAAATGAGGGAGAAGAAAGGAACATGGATTCCAGCAATGCTTCGGCTTACATAAAAATCAAAGTCAGGAGTCCGTAACCATTATGGCCAGGCTAATTAAAGTAAGTGTATGTTTATTTTTTTAGAGGAATGTTACTCTAACCATTTTCCCTTCTATCCCTCTTTATTTACATACTAAACTACTAGTAACTGTTGTTACAATAACAATATATCACATAACTGTTACTGTGGGCATACATTTCACAATAGGTAGCTAAGTCTTCTTACTTCACCATGTCTTTTCCTTCTAAGATATTGGATTTTATTCTCTTTTATTTATTATTTTTATTTATTTACTTTTTTGCGGTACGCAGGCCTCTCACTGCTGTGGCCTCTCCCGTTGCGGAGCACAGGCTCCGGACACGCAGGCTCAGCGGCCATGCGTCACGGGCCTAGCCGCTCCGTGGCATGTGGGCTCTTCCCGGACCGGGGCACGAACCTGCGTCCCCTGCATCGGCAGGCGGACTCGCAACCACTGCGCCACCAGGGAAGTCCTTGGATTTTATTTTTTTAATTTGTTCTACTGAGATAAAATTTACTTTGAGTGAAATGCACAGTTCAGTTTTGACAAATGCGTATGCTCAAGTAACTAACACCCCAATCAAGACATAAAACATTCCCACCACCTGGGAAAAATGTCTCATGTCCCTTCCCAGTCAATCTTGCCCTCTGTCCTGATTTATATCACCATGAGTTAGTTGTGCCTTTCTAGAACTTCTTATAAATGCAATTCTTCAGTATGTAGTCTTTTGGGTCTCGCTTCTTTACTCAGCGTAATGTTTTTTTTGAGAATCATCATGCTGTGGGGTGTATGATAACTTATTCCTTTTCATTGCTGACCAGTCGTCTATTTTACAAATATATCACAGTTTCCTTCCTCCTCCTCTTTTGTTGAAGGACACCTGGATAGTTTCCAGTTTGGGCATTAAACAAAAAATTTCTTCTGATCCTGGAACCTCTTTGTCCAAATAAAAAGTTTTGAGAATTGGATTTTTTTACTTTGGAGATTCTGCCTTCCACTGATATGTTTCAGGGTCTTTCCTCCCTTCATCTCCTCTCCAGGAAAATCACAATACATTCAACTGGAGAAGAATGATATGGGTAATATTGAAGATGGGCAAGTTTATTTGTTCATCATACAAGTCCTAAAGGCTGAATATAGAAAACAAGTTAATATCCTGACCAGTCTCACAATCTAATTTTGGAAAGGGCAGGTAAAGCTGCAAGGAGTGAAAAAGTGAGACAATACGGCCAACCCATAGAGTTAAAAGCATTGTCAGGGCCCAAAGGTAATTATTACAATTACAGCTTGTACTTATCGAGCCTGAGCTAAATGCCAGACATTGTGCTAATTACTCCATCCAGTCTTTATGCTTGATGTAGGCACATTTGTTATCCCAATTTCATGTAGGGTACATGGACGCTCAGAGAGTACATAAGGAAGTACCTAACACTATATGTAGAAGACACTCGAGTATATATGAAGCAAATCATAGGAATTTAAAGGAAATGAAGGGATTAATTTTTAAATGGCTAGTGGAGTTGTGCCACTAAATAAATAATTAGCATTTCAACTTTCTCTTCTCATTAGCATTTTGCAAACTCTTCTTAAGCCATAAGCCCTCTCTGTTCATGCTCACTGACTCTGGATGGATATACTGTGTAGCATTCACCTCCCAGGGAATTACCAGCCAGCTGGACAATTGTAGTTTTACAAACAGAGTAATTTAACACCTCTCTCTTTTAACACCACTCTTTTTTTTTTTTTTAATTTTTTATGTATTTTTTTTTTGGCTGCGTTGGGTCTTCGTTGCTGTGTGTGGGCTTTCTCTAGTTGCGGCAAGCGGGGGCTACTCTTCGTTGCGGTGAGCGGGCTTATTGTGGTGGCTTCTCTTGTTGCGGAGCACGGGCTCTAGACCTGCGGGCTTCTGTAGTTGTGGCATGCGGGTTCAGTAGTTATGGCTCACAGGCTTAGTTGCTCCGCGGCATGTGGGATCTTCCTGGACCAGAGCTGGAACCCGCGTTCCCTGTATTGGCAGGTGGATTCTTAACCACTGCGCCACCAGGGAAGCCCAACACCACTCTTGATAACAAAATAATAGTACAGATATTTTGGATATCTGTACTATTTGTACTGTTACCAACAATTCTGTTATCTGTACTGTTACCAACAATTCTGGCTGAAATCCATGTACAGCAAGAAGGATTCCAGTGAGAAAGCAAGTGGTTTAAAATTATCTTTGGGGATTCAATTTTAAAATGTTTTCCTTAATGCCCTTCTTGTCCTCCTTTCCCTCTCTCCCCAGCCCAAAGATCTTTTAGTATTCTCTTCCTTTACTGCTACTGATTATTATATTATTCATCTATTTAAAATAGGAAGGATGGAGCAGAAAGTATTCCTTTTTCTGGCAAGAAAGCCCTGAATATCATTTGGGGAAATTCATCCCTAAGAAGCACTGAATGAGCTATGTGGTTTCATGTTTAAAATAGTTTATCCATAGTATGTATTATGAACAATGTAGCTTCCTCTATTAGTTTGCAAGGGCTGCCATAACAGAGTACTACAGACTTATTTCCTCACAGTTCTGGAGGCTAGAACTCTTAAGATCAAGGTGTTGGTAGGGCTGATCTCTTCTGAGGACTCTCTCCCTGTCTTGTAGATGGCCATCTTCTCCCTGTGTTTTCATGTTGGCTTCCCTCTGTGTCTGTCCATGTCCTAATCTCTTCTTCTTAAAAAGACACCAGTGATATTGGATTACAGTCCACTTATATGACCTCATTTTACTTTACCTCTTTAAAGACCCTATCTCCAAACAGTTTCATTCTGAGGTACTGGGGGTTAGGACTTCAACATATGAATTTTGGGGGAACACAACTCAGCTTATAATACTTCCTATCTGCATCACAGAGCTGTTAGCCTAAATAAGAGAATTACTTAGGAAAACAATGTGAATGTAATTATATCCTGTATAAGAGGGTGTCTGTTAAGGTCGTTAAATTAGTCACATGGTCAACTATTTTAAAATCATTTGTGAATTTAAGTTGCTTGTAAGGAAAGATGTTAGTGGCTACTATTTTGGAGAACAGGCTATGAAGAGAATCAGATGACATATTGAAGATCATCTGTGCAAACCAGTGGTAAAATTTTTTAAATTCTCAAAATTGAAAAAAAATGAGAAAAGTAATCTAACAATGGTTACTTATAGAAGATAAGAGGTGTGTTTTTTGGGGAAGCTTAAAATAATTTATGAAGAGCATGGCAAAAATAGTATTAGAACAGAGTAGATGTGAAATAAAGAATAAAAAGGATCAGAAAATGGGAAACATTTGTTCATTATCATCAGTTACGTTGATTTATACGAGACTGGCCTTTTAGCAGACAGGAAATGGTCTAGTATCGACAATTCTGTGTCAACCTAACATAAAAGAAACCAGAGGATTTAGCCTGTAGAAGACAGAAAAGGGAAGTGCCTACGAGCCATAATTATGGAAAATTAAAGGACTTTGTATTGAAAGCATTACACAATTCTCACTTAAAATCTCAACCTCAGCATAGTTATAATGATATTGTGACCCACTCCTCACCTGATTGATTTTCTTTTTATATTATTAGCTACTTAAATCCTCCAAGCAAATTTCTGGATTAGGTCTTCTGCTTTACCCAGGCCACACGCTGAAACGGACGCTGAACTTTCACTCTCCACATAAAAGGGATATTCCCGTGTATGGCAAGTTATAAGAGCTTTACTCCATCACCCCACCCACCCCACTATTCCCCACCCATCCTTTCTCCGGAGCGTTGGCCACCTACATCTACAAATTCTACACATTGCATTTCCATCATCCTGCTGTCAGTGGGTGGAGGAAAGGGTCATTTCTTCCTCCGAATCCCGATTTGGATAAAGCAGTACCCCTGTCTTTTTGCTACCAGGAGATAGGGCGGGGACCCCCCTCGCCCAGCTCAGGGTAGAAGCGCTGGTGTTGAGGCTGAGTTGTACGAGGGGCCTGTTGACCTGGCACGGTTTAAGCACTCAACTGACAAATAACACAGGAAATCCGGTAACCAATCAGAGCGTAAGGGTGTGGTGCGAGCATCTTTTTTTTCAGGTGCGGTCACAGCCAAGTCTGACCCAGCGGAGGGGCGCGACCCGGATTGGGCGGCCAATTTCCAGACAGCTTGCCCAGCCTGGTCCGCGGACCGCCACAGCCTGGTTGCGAGCGCGTCCCCGTTTCTTCTCGGGCGTCGCTGATTGGAGGGGCTGGGGAGGAAGCGGTGGGCGCAGCCAATCCGGAGCGGCCTCCGCCGCTCTCCTCCCCGCCCCCGGGCTTCAAGGGGAGTTGGCCTTGGGGCCGAGCACCGGTGTCTGCGTGTGCTCTCATGAGGATAGCGGCAGGAGCCCGGGGCTGAGGACTCCGGCGCACAGGCCATGGCTTCCGCCGGGCTGCCCCAGGCTCCCGCTGAGGACTACCCCTGGCCTCTGCGCCTTCTGCACGCGCCCCCGGGGCTGCTGCGGCTGGACCCCACGGGCGGCGCGCTGCTGCTTCTCGTTCTCGCCGCGCTGCTGGGCTGGAGCTGGCTGTGGCGGCGCCCGAAGCGGGGCATCCCCCCCGGGCCCACGCCCTGGCCCGTAGTGGGCAACTTCGGCTTCGTGCTGCTGCCGCCTTTCCTCCGACGGAAGAGCTGGCCGTACCGGCGGGCAAGGACCGGAGAATTGAATACCTCGGGCCTGGGCGTGCAGTTGCTCCTGGCAGACATGGCCCGTGTGTACGGCAACATCTACAGCTTCTTCATCGGCCACTACCTGGTGGTGGTCCTCAACGACTTCCACAGCGTGCGCGAGGCGCTGGTGCAGCAGGCCGAGGTCTTCAGCGACCGCCCGCGGATGCCGCTCAACTACATCCTGACCAAGGGGAAGGGTGAGCTGGGCCGCGGCCGCGGGAGCCTTGGGGGTCAGGGGTCACGGGCCGTGTGAGCACGCGGATGGGGCTGCAGGTGCGCCGGAGCTGGGGGTTCTGTGCCCCCTGCGGCCGCGCGCACCCAACCTGCCTCACACCTGCACCCAGCGCGGGAGGGGGAGGGCGGCGCTGCCTCCCACTCCCGGTGCCTTTGAGATCCCCTGCAGCTGTGATAGGTTCCATCTTTCCAGGAGTATTCGCTCCTTCCCAGAATAAGGCCTCACTCTTCAGGCTGTGTTCCCGACGAGAAACTTCGGCCGTGTTAGAAAGAGAGAGGGATATTTACACCTTTTGCGTTTTGGGTGCAAGAGTTTAAGATTATTTCCCCATAAGATAGGAAGTCCAGAAAACACGATAGGAACTAATTGGCAAACCTAATGTACAATAGGTTTATAGTTTCTGTGATTCCTGCTTATGGAAGGCTAAGTTGGGCAGTGTTGAGCGTTGGTAAACATGTTATCCGCTGCAATAGAATATCACATTTGCCCTTTTTGTTTATCAGTGTTCCCCTTTGTCTTATTGGCCGGCACAGGTCCCAGACTGTGTTTCCGTCTGTGTCAATCCTACCCTTCGGTCAGGCGTTAATTTTTTTTTTTTTACATCTTTATTGGAGTATAATTGCTTTACAATGGTGTGTTAGTTTCTGCTTTATAACAAAGTGAATCAGTTATACATATACACATGTTCCCATATCTCTTCCCTCTTGCGTCTCCCTCCCTCCCACCCTCCCTATCCCACCCCTCTAGGTGGTCACAAAGCACCGAGCTGATCTCCCTGTGCTATGCGGCTGCTTCCCACTAGCTATCTGTTTTACGCTTGGTAGCGTACATATGTCCATGCCACTCTCACACTTTGTCACAGCTTACCCTTCCCCCTCCCCATATCCTCAAGTCCATTCTCTAGTAGGTCTGTGTCTTTATTCCCGTCTTACCCCTAGGTTCTTCATGACTTTTTTTTTTTCTTAAATTCCATATATATGTATTAGCATACGGTATTTGTCTTTCTCCTTCTGACTTACTTCACTCTGTATGACAGACTCTAAATGTCTTTCCCTCAGGGAGTTTTTTTCCTCACTTCCGTTCCAGGTAAGTTAGTCTCCCTTGTTAGAACCAGTTTCATTGCACAAGTACTTTTCCTTCACTGCACTTATCAATATTGAGGCTTCATAATTCTGTAACCTTGGCCTGAATGTGAGTCTTCACCACTAGACTGACATCTAGGAAGACAGAGTTATTCCTTGTCCTGCCTGGCACATATAGGAGTCAATAACTATTTATTAAGTAAATGAACTACTACTTCCTTTTCCTGGCATGTGGTATAAAGAGATCCAGGCTTTTCAGAATCTGATGAAGCCAGAATAATGATCTTAATATTCTAAATGTCCCACTGAAAAATAAATCATACATGTCACAGTTCATACCTTACTCTCTCCATGTCTTTACACCTGCTGCTTCGTCTACCTGGAATTCTCTTCCGTTCTCATGGCTGCCTGGAGAACTCCCACCTGCTTTTCTTTCCCTCTCTCTTTTTAAAAAAATAGTGGTGAAATACAAATAACATAAAATTTACCATCTTAATCATTTTTAAGTGTACAGTTTAGTGGTATTAAGTCATTCACATTGTTGTGAAACCATCACCACTGTCTCCAGAACTCTTTTCATCTTGTAGAGCTGAAAGTTTATACCCATTAAACAAACACTAAAAACCCATTAAACATTTAAAAACTCTCTAACCTCTGGCAACCACCATTCTGTTTTCTGTCTCTGTGAATTTGACTGTCCTAGGTACTTTATACAAGTGGAATCATACAATATTTATCCTTTTGTGACTGACGTATTTCACTTAGTATAATGTTTTAAGGTTCACCCATATTGTAGCATGTGTGAGAATTGCTTTCCTTTTTAAGACTGAATACTATTCCATTGAATGTATGTACCACATTTTGTTTATCCATTCGTCCCCTGATGGATACTTGCATGCTTCCATCTTTAGACTATAGTGAAAACTGCTGCTGTGAACATGGTATGTCTACAAATATCTGTTGAAGTCCTTGCTTTCAGTTCTTATGGGTGTAAATCCAGAAGTGGAATTGCTTGATCATATTATATGTTTAATATTTTTGAGTAACTGCCATACCATTTTCCATAGCAGCTGCACCATTTTACATTCCTGCCAGCAACAGCCAATGTTTCAGTTTCTCCACATCCTCACCAACACTTGTGTTGTATTTTTTCATACCTGCTTAAATGTCACCTCTCTGAGAATGTGTTCTGTGACCTATTTCTCTATCCTCCCAGGTACAGGTGAGCTACTCTTTTCTCTGTGATACCACTGTTTTCGTTTAAACCCTCATCGCATTCCCTAGCAGTCAGTAAGTCTTGTCAGCCTGCTGCAGATATATCCATGTTCTGTATCCGTTCACTTCTCTCCATTTCCATCTCATCCAAGCTACCATCGTTTTTCATTTCCAGAAGCCTCTTAACTAGCCTGCTTGCTTCTGCTCTGATCTTTTATCCATACAGCAGCCAAAGGGATTTCTTTAAAAAAAAAAAAAAATGTGAATCAGAACAAATCATGTCGCTTCCCCCACTGAAACCAGTTGTTTCCGACTCCATACTAGACCTACTGTGCCCCAAAGGATCTGGCCTCTGCCTGCCTTTCTCACTTTATCTCTTTCCACTCTCGCTTTATTGTACATTTCAAGTACAGTGTCTGCTCTGGACACACTAAGCTGATTCCTGGAAGGTTGGTGACTGCCTCAGGCTACTGGGTTTTGTCGTCCTTAGGCCTGGGATAACTTAAAAAAAATTTTTTTTAATATTTATTTATTTGGTTGCACTGGGTCTTAGTTGCGGCAGGCGGGCTTCTTAGTTGTGGCACGCTTGTGGGATCTAGTTCCCTGACCAGGGATCGAACCCGGGCCCCCTGCATTGGGAGCTCAGAGTCCTATATCCACTGCGCCACTGGGGAAGTCCCCTGGGATAACTTTTTACTTGGTTTATTCCTTATCATCTCTCAGGCCAATTGTCACCTTTCACTACTATTTTAGACACTGCCCAATATCACAGCTTATTTTATCTCATTTATATTTCACTAACCTCATTCATTAAAAACTTTGAAAGCATTTAGCCTATTACCAACCCCACTTACCATTGGAATGTGAACTCTGTGAGGGCAAAGATCTGGCTCATCTTGTTAACCACTGTGTGCCTTCTAATCGGCACAGAGCAGGTAATCAAGAAATGAATGAATGCATGCATACATCTATTGATACATACATACATCTAACATCTGTTGATGCACTTACCACATTATATTGTCACTTTTGTTGCTCATCTGTCTTTTCCTCCTGATTTTTAAAGGTAGGAATTAGATTTTCTTCTTCCAGGTCCTTCTTGGTGGGTGTATAGTTTGGTTAAGAATCTATAAGGCAGTTTCTAAGTATTAGTTGGATCACAGTTTATTATTGGATCCCTCCTTATTTTGTAAAGTCCTGGGAGCCTGGGGTAATCTGGTGCTTCAGCATCTCAACTAAAGCATTAATTCCTCCAAGAGACAGGACTTTTTAGGTGATGCTGCTCTTGTATTCTGGTGGATATGTGTTGGGCGAATGTGCTGTGAGAAATTTATGTTGCTGGTGAAAATGATTGACAGGAGAAAGTAAAGCAAGAACCATATGTCACAAGGAAAATGCTTGTCAATTTAACTTGGAATAAAGAACAGGCCATCTGAATAGGAAAATGTAGGTAGTCAAGGAATCTTTTAATGGAATTGTTTCAAGGGTGAAAAATAAAAGGGGAGAATGTGAGTTTATTTCAAGATGCCCATCGAAGGATGAAGAAGCAGATGAGTTCTGGGTAGCCGTCATAGATCAAGAATTGGATGGCATAGTCATCCTGAAGAAGATAGGCCACAGGAGTGAAAGGCTGAGCGGCTCAGCTCAGCAAGATTTGAGGAGTGCCTGAGCCACCTTCAGTGCTGTTTCCAGGGGCAAGACTGTAAAATGCGGAAGTTGTCCAGAAGCAGGATGCATAGACTCTAAGAGAAAGAAAAGTGATATTAAGAATTAGAGGCCAATCACGTTATTAAATGTTTATATTTATTTTTATAAGATATTTGTAAAAGAGTTTTGCTGCTAAAGTTGATGAGACTCGAAGAGAAGGAATATTTCATGAACAGTGATGTGCTGGAAATAGTTCACTTAACACATTGCCATCAAGTTCTAGAATGTAGGGAGGTTATTTATTATATTTGAGTTTTTCAAATTATCATGCTTGTACAAGTTGATGTTCTTTTTAAGCATGAAAATTATAGTAAGGTGGATAGGCCAGAAAGATGTTCTACATTAGGTATGCCCATCATACTTATTCATCCATCTGATTCTGTTCCTGAGCAGGAAATAAAGTTACAAAGTCAGATTAAGAGGTACAAACTGCTAAGTATAAAATAAATAAGCTACAAGGGTATGTTGTACATCACAAGGAATATAGCCAATGTTTTATAATAACATTAAATGGAGTATAATCTAAAAATTTTGAAACACTGTCTTATATGCCTGAAACTAATATAATATTGTAAATTAACTATACTTCAATAAAAAAACATACAGTCAGATACAAGGCTACCAAAAGAGTACTTTAAGTGTGGTCTGTTTCTTCTCAAAGGTTTATGCACATCACATTTTTATTATAAAATATTTCAAATATAAAGTTCAGAGAGTAATATAAACTCATTCATCACTGTTCACATTTGCTTCAGATTCATAAACAGTGCATAACTTCATTTGGTATGTTTTTTAAAACCTTACATATGTCATATATTTATAAAGTATCTTTCTACCTCTAGCTTTTGTAATTTATCTATTTCCCTGTTGATAGAAATTAGATTACTTCTAATTTTGAGAGGTTTTGAGAGACTTGGAGCAAGAGTCAAAGGAAGTTGCAAGACATGAAAATGGGAGG